GAGTTGCATCCCAGCAGGCTTTTGTAGACAATTGTTCCTCAACGTCAATGTCAATTAACATAAATGATTATAAAGAATTTTCCTTTCTCAAAGCTAAGGAGTCATTCAATAGATATTTTGTGCTTCGTTTGAGGGAGTACGACAGAGAATTAAGAAATAATTGAGCGCTTTGAGGATTCGGCTTTATTCTCTGAAATGTATTTAGGTTCCATGTAAAAACGTGTGAAGGTAAAGCAAAACACAGAGCCTGCAAGATTTAAGGTCTTGGTCTTCCTGTCAGTTCTTGTCCTGTTATGTAGAGCATGGAGCTAACATGCTAGCACTGCAATGATGAGCTCTCACATTCACATGCTAAAATTGTAAGCACCCAAGGTACACAGCATGTATTTTTAGATAGCTGCTTGAGCTCCAAGCATCACTCGCATGTCCTACTTTATTTGTAGTTACAACTCAGATTTAAATATGGGGGCTCGCACTTACATTTGCTTCAGCTTGATTTAGAACATGAACTACTTTTATAAAATTTTTCTACTGAGAAAGTTTAATCTAAGATCTGTTTGATGTTCTCAAGCACGTTGAAGATGCCCATTGCAATAAGGTATGGAATTTTGTGATTTTTTTTTTTAAATTCAGAAGTCAGAAAATGTGAACTCTGTTTGGTAGATTATTAGTGCAAATGTAGAAATACTTATTTTCAGTGCAAGCCATGTTCTTTGATTGATCTAACCAACAAGATCCTCTGACACTGAGGATTTTGCACTTCACAGTTGTTTTTTCTGGGGAAGCCATTGCATGCTTTGTGTGAGGTAGGTGTGTAAATTAATGTAAACAAGAAGACCAATAACCCTCATAGATTCTTCAGAAGCAGAAAATAAACAGTCTGCATGTAGATGACACAAATGTGTTCCTTGAAAACAGGGTTTCCCCAAAGACAGGAGGATTATAAGCGACTGCCAAGATGTTGTGGTTGCCGCTCATGTGTGAAGCCACACACACAGACGCAGCTTGGCTGCTGCAGTTCCCCTTTGGCAGCCATGTTGACTCCACGGTCTGGTCCATGGCTGTTGCTATAGTAACTGATGCTGATCTGCTGAGTATTGGGCATCTCGCCCTGGCACTTCTGCGAAGGACGTTGCAACATATTTGCAACAAGAGCAGCAAAATGATCAGGCAACGACTGCTTTCTCACGGTAATAGTGAACTCTGACCCGCAGACAGCTGAGATCATTTTTAAAAAACGAATTTCACACGAACCAATGCGTGATGAAGCCATGTGAAAAGTTTCTAAGGTTTGGCTCTAGTTTAATGGAGCTGGGAATTTAGTTTGAGCTTCTCTAAACACACTGCCAGGCAATTTGTGATTCAGTTCAGAATAGGTTTAGACACTGAATAAGTTCATCTTCTGTGTTTTTGTATTTCACTCTTCAAAAGGTTGGACATGAAAAATGTGGTGACAAAAGTTCAGAAGGTTATGCAGTGCACCAGATGTTTAAACTACGCTTCCTGTACATGTAAAACTTGGGGTGTAAAAGGAGTCAATGTTTTTCACTTAGTAGCATCGTATTAACAGCAGAGGGCATCATGCTACAATGCTAAAGGACATCTCTGATAACTTCAGTTAAAGTTCAAGAGTGCACACAGAATATGAACTGGGCAAAAACCATTTACATAGTTTTACTTTTATGATTGGCGCTTCAGAGTCAAAATACTTTAGCACAGTTTGTGCTTCGATAATTGAGGTGATTTACCCGGTGATTCAGTTATCAGTGTTCTGCATGTGCTTATTCTAGACAAACCTCTGGATCATTTTTCATGTCCTTAAAAAATCAGTGCACTAAATGACCATGTTTTTTTTTCACTTAAACATCTGTTCTAAAAATTAACACAACAAATTCAGACAAAGTCAACTGCAACTCTACAATAAATATGAAAATGCAATAATGTATTTTTAGGTTGTACAGATGGACGATGTAGGATTTTACCTTTCTGTTCCCATCACAGTGTGGTTCACAGACAATTATAGCTTTTAAACCATCTTACTCTTGTGTTGCAATGTTTGACTCATCAGGATGGAAGGTTTGGAAGTCAGTCACATGATCAGATGTCTCTCTTGCTCACAAGCGACATGTCTGGACATCAAAGATGGGTTACAGACTGTACATAAAAGATGGGTGTTGCTTTTATGAATGTCTTGACTGAAGGATGGATCAGATTTACAATGAGAGGACACAATGCACATCAATAAATCACATAGTAGGGTAGGGTGATTTTCTTATCAGACGTCGTCAAAAGTTGCCCTCTGCTGGCTAACAGAAAGAATTCAAGTTTAAGATGCTGAAACTTTCAGAGCTGTAGACAAAGCTCATGTTTTATAACCCATCTAAGTAATGGATCAAATTTAACTTGTTATAGATCTTTTTTCAAATCTAAAAGTATTTTATGTTAAACAGAAGAGAGTTTAAGACATTTAGCAAGAACTTTATCCCAAACATAGAAAGGACTGTCAACCACACACACACACACACACACACACACACACACACACACACACACACACACACACACACACACACACACAATGCCATTGACAAATGTTATTATTATTTAATTTCATTTGTTTTCATGGTATTCGTCCTACTAACCTTAATGTACTGTTATCTTAGTTTCACATTAAAACAGCACACTAATTAAATGATGGTCCAACATTCTATACTATCCAAAACTGTCCTTGAATAAACTGCAGTTGGTCCTAACAAAGATGAAAGTAGCAGCATGCAGACACACACACACACACACACACACACACACACACACAGACACACACAAATGCACAGTCAGCTGTTACAGAGAGTGTGTGATGAGGGAGTGGAGAAGCCGAGGCCTCCAGATACTCAGGATGGCAGCTCTCCTCCCTTATCTCTGCCTACCATGCGGTAGTGTGTGTGTGTGTGTGTCTGTGTGTGTGTATGTGTGTATGTGTATGAGCCAGCTGAAGTAAATATCAGACTATATTTCTGAGCAAGCAGCCAGCTGATCACGAGTGTAGCTGTTCACGGTATGTGCATTTATATATATATATATATATATATATATATATATATATGTGTGTGTGTGTGTGTGTTTGTGTGTGTGTGTGTGTGTTTGTTGGTATGCATCTTATTGAGATATGACGGAAACATTTTTGCATTTTAAACCTTAGTGGGTTTGTTTTTGGGTGTGTTCATTAATATCTGCCATATGTATATCAAATACTGGTAACTGACCCCCCAAGCCCAAACCCACAAAGCTCTTAATAAAGTTTTATTAACTTAAAACAAATCCGCCCAAATATGAAAATATGGAGTCGGACATATTCATCTGTATTTTTTAATAATTTGAACACTTGAATCATTTATGTTTTCCGATACTGAAGATCAAAATGTATTTGACTATCAGAATTTTTCTGTTGTTTGTTAAAAATAGATTTAGAAATACTTATAATTAATTTATCATAATGTGCATCATTATTGCCTCATTGTATTGCTTCAGCTGGACAGATTATCTTCAACACCAGTGGTGTAATCCAGTGGTCCCCAACCCCCGGGCCTTGGACTGGTACCGGTCCGTGAGTCGTTTGGTACCGGGCCGCGAGAGTTGAGGCTCAGGTGTGAAATGTATGGTTTTCAGGGTTTTTATTGGTTTTCAGTGTTATTTTGTTATCGTTTTTATCGTTAACTCGGTTTTCCTGGGTCTTTTCACGTGTGTTATGAATAAATCTTCTTTTTTTCGGTACCGGTACTAGTTTTATTTTGTTGTATTTATCCGCGACACCTTAAAGGCCGGTCCGTGAAAATATTGTCGGGCATAAACCGGTCCGTGGCGCAAAAAAGGTTGGGGACCGCTGGTGTAATCAACAACAGCAACACTGTGTACTGACGCAGCTTCCATAAAAATGCCAAAAAGGCAAACTAAGACTAAATACTCAGTGGTGTCAGTGCTCCTACATCAGGGCTTCAGCCACCAGGCTGATTTGGAGAATTTCACACAACAGCTTTTAATTTAATTGCAACTTTAGGGGCTTTGGTCAGAGTGAGATGTCTTCTGAGGTTTTCACACAACAACAAGAAAAAACTCTGGGTTGTTCCAACTTTAAACAACCCAACATTTTTCAATTTGTGTTTACAGACTGCACATTTCTGTCTGATGGCTCTGTCAGCCTCTAATGTGGGCGTGCTAATAACACAAATAACAACAACAAAAACAACATAAGAATGTGAGACTAAAATGAGCTGCAAGGCAAGCAGTTTACCTGCACTGGGTTCAGCTTTACATTTCATCTCCTTCTTTTTGTGTTCATTTTTTAATGTTTTCTGGTGCCATTAAAGGGGAATTATCTGCACTTTGGCCAAACTGTGATCGCCTGAAATCTGAAGAATATTTAAGTGCCACAGAGATTTATTTTTAATTAGAGTAATTTAAATTCAAGTGGGTCAAACCAGTAAAAGTGTGTAATAACCAACCGTATGCCATGTGCAACTTGTAGACAGGTTGCTGTTTCCTTCTTTTAAAGGTTTTGAGTTGTTTTGTTGTTTGCTTTGTTGCATAAGTAAGATGTGAAAGTGAAAAAGAACCAACACAAAAAATTAGCAGCACTGAAGATGTATATATTTATATACAAGCATGTGATTTAAAGCAAACCCCTCCCAGGTTATAAGTTGTTAGGGGTTTGTTGTCTTTTCTCGCCTTCACTCAATTTGGAGGTTCGCTCTCTCCACTCTACATTTACATCCAAGCGTATAGATGTGACGACTCTGCTTGCAGTGTTCAATGTTTATTTTTCTGAATGCATGGCCATCAGTCAGCACTGATGTATGTGGTCTGCGCTGGAGCCAAGTTCCTTAGTTTAAAGCCAAACATGATACTCGCCAAGCGCAGCTGGGGGAAGGGGAAGAAAAAGAGGGAATGGGGAAGAAGGAGGAGGAGGGGATCTTCTAAAAAATTTTCATTTGCAACTCAGAAAAGACAAAGAAAGTAAAAGCAAAGGGAAGTAACAGGGAAGGTGAAGTTAAAAGAAGAGCTTAAGATTAGAGGATAGTTAGAAAGGGAGAACACATATGACCCAAAGGAGAGCGGAAGGAAAATGAGAGATTTTGAGGTCATAAAATAATCAAAGTAGGGACAGTTTACGAGAGAGAGTATCACAGAGTCAAATGGAAGGAAGCAAGGAAAATAACAGATCAGAGATGGCAGAAAGAAGAAATGAAGCATCTAAACAATGACTGGAAAAGAAGAGAGGAGAAAACGGGAAGCTGGGAAAAGTGGAAACAGTTGATTGAAGGAGGAGGCATGAAAAGAAAGATACCGAATGACAAGTGTCGAATGTTCTGAAGAGGGGAGGCAGGCTGAATGCGAGAGACAAGCTCAGAGAGGGAGAAAGAACCAAAGTGGTTCAAGAAAAGAAATTTGTTTAACAAAAATCAAGGATGGGAGAGAAAGGGGTGATGAAGAGCAGGAGGAAACTTTAGCTGCATTAACTGAATCTGACAAAGGGAAAAAGGGCAGATTTTAAGTGTGGGAAGCCCTGAAAGAGGAGGAGAGAAAGACAGAAGAGGGAGTGGAGAGGGAACCGAGGGGGAGAAGAGAGGAGGAGAGGCAGAGCTGGAAAACAGTGTGTGACAGAAGAAGAGAGAGCAGATATGAGAAGGAGTGAGGAGACCTGAGAAAAGAACCTAATTCAGCATTGTGTTTCCAGCCAGCCTCTCACACTGCTGTGAAACCCTCTTGAGCTGCGCTGCTGCTGCATGACTGAACGCTATCAGTCCCGAGCAGGCAGCACACACACACACACACACACACACACACACACACACACACACACACACACACGCACACACACAAATGGATATGACTCGTCCGCTGAGGTGGTTTGGTGTGGTGGACTTGGAGTGACAGTTGGGAATAACTGGTTTCTTCGTCCTGTCAGGTAGGTTTAATATGACTTTAAAGATTATATTATATCATGTGGACTTATATTAGTGATAGTTTGTGTTTCTGAGCATTAACGAAGCATTAATGTGAAAGCTGAATGCCTTATTCTTGCAAAATTAGTCTAGGAAAAGTGTCTCTTTTTTTTTTTTTTTGCCTCGTTGTTGATCTCTGGTTAATTTCTACCAGCCGACCTGAAACATTCATTAGAGTTAACATATTTCCATATCTGATATTTGATATCCCAACAAAAAACATTTGGAATCTGGTCTTTTAAGGGAAATCAGAAACTATTTGTATCAATATTTGTATGAAGATGCAAAATCTTTTTGTGTTTTTGTTTTTTTTGCCACAGTAAGGAAGATTCTCTGCTTGTGTAGCTCCATGTTGCCTGATTAGAGTTTTTTTTAAGCTAAAACTTGGTAGTTTGAGTGTTTTCCATGATATTTAGAACCAAAGAAAGATTTGTTTTTCATGCTGTTTGTTTTAAGCGTTTTCAAGTGTGGAAAAATACAGTGTAAATTGGGCAGGTGATCATGACTGTGCCTGGTTCCACCCGGCTTAGAGGATAAAAGGTCTCCTTAGAACATACACAGAACAGGGCAGGGATGCAGGTTTTCCAGGTTTAGCAGCCCAGAGTGGCCGGATATTGTTGGTCTCAGTCACAGTATCTTCTGAACTCTGCGTCAGTCTGTGCTAGTATTACAGTGACATCGCATTAATCCAATGATTTTACAGACTTCTTTCCTCCAGTCTTTGCAGAATTGTTGCCGTGCATTTTTAGATTTTGTGTTTCTTATAAACATCTTTACCGAAAATAAAAAAAACTTTCTACACTTTTATTTTAACTGTCAAGGTCAGCGAGGTATTTCTGAAATGTTGATCACCAGATGCACTTTACTGTATACTGACACGGTGTCATCTCAGTTCATCAATTGCTGTAGTTTTGAAGCCACAGGCATTCTTTGGCACTGGTGCCCTGACACACCTGCCGTGAGAATATTCTACCCAGTATCACAGCAAAACATGTAACAGACACTTTGCCATGATATTGAGTTGGGGTTGGGCAACCATATCAGATGGAGAGAGCAGACAGTCCTGCTTAAAGGAATAGTGTAAAAGTCACAAGACTGTCACCCACTGTCGTGCCATCTTTGTATTTTGCACTTCCTCTTTTGCTGTTTACCTGAATTGAGGCCCAAAACTACTTGGTTAGTATTAGGAAATGATTTGGTTTTGTGGTTTACACCCCTTCATAACTTTTGCTTCCTAACCTAAACACTGAAAATGATGCTTAAAGTCACCCAGTGGGATCCTGAAAAGTAAATATCTGGCAAACTGGGAGACCAGTCTCACCAACTGCAACCAGCGGGTCACGGCACCAACATCAAAGGGAACCTTATCACTCCCACTTATCAGTTTTATTGTGCAAATCCATTGTATTATATATCCTCACACTTAACCCACTTCCCCAACTCCTCAATAATATAGATAAAGATCAGCTACTACCAGGGGTTAGAACCTGATCTTCCTTCCCAGGTCATCACTAGCTATTTTATAATCTATTTTTACACATGCTCAAGTAGTGATGCATTAAACTGAGTGGTTAACTTCACTGTTACTCACCCTCCCAAAGCAAAGAGAAGCACATACACGGTGTTTGCAGCCTCCTTCTTTGTTTCTTGATCTTTCTTCAGCCTAGTACTGTAACTGGATGTTTGTGTGGTCAAATATAGCTACTTACTACTCCTTCTAATACAATATCCTGCTTACTGTGACAATGTATAAGTAATCTGGCAGTAATTCAGTATCCGCTTCATTCTTGAGCATATTTTCAGACAAAGCCTGGCATCTGTTCAAGGTATCAGTGACACAGTTTGTGACCTTACATCTTGCATCAATGCTTTTCTTTTTTCAGTTTCAGTTTTAAATTAAAACATCTCCAAATGTTTTCCCCCCTCTGCTCTTTTGTATTCTGTCCCGCCCTGTATCCTCATACTTCTCCTCCTCTCCACCTTTTCTGTTCCTTCAAATACATAAAGGGTATTTGCTCTCATAGACTTTCAGTTTCTCATGAACCCCCTCAGCGAGTGCAGCTCAAACTGACAAGCTGCCAGAGAAAATATCAACACAACAAGCCGGGTCAGAATCTGCTGCTCGCGTACCCTCACTCCACCCCTTCCTCCCACTCCCTCCCCTCTGTCCTTCTCCTCATTTTATTCTCCTGCACAGTATTTATGTCTCGTTCTTTTCTCTCTCACCATCTATTTCCTGGCTCCCTTGATTTTCGGGGGATTTTCTTAGTCCAAGTCTTCCCTGGTTTTGTTAAGTTCATGTGGTGTGTTGTGTGTGGCTTTGGCTACACGGATCATTAGATAGACGCAGTAGGAGGTCAGTGGTTCCATTGTGGTTGAATTAAATGCTAACACTTGTCACTGAGGAAAATGCGCCTGAGGGGATCAAGAGACACTTAACAATAAAGAAGGTGGTTGGGCTGTCTGTGTCGGTCACTCTTCCACATTTGCTGGTTCCACACTAATTGGCTCAGACTTCTGAACAATGGCAACATTAGTGGTGGGGACACAGACTAGCATTTGTCTTTATGATTTAATGAAGCATGCAGCTATTTGGTATCGTTGTCGTCACTGTTTTGTTATCAGTCAGATTTACATTGATTGTTGTGTTTGAGGAGACTTTATCTAGCTGGTTTTGAAAGGATGGGTGGCAGAGGGGAGACTGAACGGTGGATTAAGCAGCTGACAGCAGATGAAGTCATTTTCAGCCTGCAAGTCAATTGTGTAGCTGTGCTGTGTTTGTCTCACGCTTTACCAAACGATTGCAGCGATGCATGGTTTAGTTTTGCTTGCTGAAAAGAAAGCAAGGAAGAGGTATGACATGACAACACTAAAACAACAGAAATTACATAATCTGCAGACATTTTTTTTAAAGAAATAATGTACATAAAAAATACCTAACCTGAGATAAACAAGTGTAAACTCACAGAGCGAAGAGGATCAGTTTTATATATACACGATTGCAGTCACTTATTTTCTAACCACTCCAGCGCACAGCAGTCTAGGAAAGAAATTAACTGTGTTTGTGTGATTGGATCAGATAGAAATATAAAAACATACTGGGTTTAATTCTTCCACACACGTGAGGGGTGAAGGTTGGGATATGTTTTCTGTGCCATTTTTTTTTGTGATGCATGGGAAAAAGAAGAAGCTACTTAAATTCGGAGTGAGATGCTGATCACGCTCTTTAGTATTTCAAAATTTGACACTGGACTTTTGAGGAACATTTGAAGTTTGTGTGCCATATGTGTGTATGTGTTGGTGTTTACATTTACAAATCTGAGGTAAATGCTGCATGCGTGTGACATGTGTGCAGACGTACAGCTAAAACTGTCTGATGACTCCACTTTTGCTTTGCCTCTGAACACATAAGTAACACTAACATCATGACATCACCCACCAGATGCTTTTACAGGACCCACGTGAGCACAGACTCACTGAAAGCTTATCTTGACCCATGCTCTGTGACCTCCAGGTTAGGTCAATGATCCCTCTGGAGAAAATGATGAACTGAAAGAAAAATCCACAGCTTGAAGAAATCTATTCCTCCTGCCCCACATGAAAATGTTTTGTTCAGAACATGATCTTTTTATGTGCCAAATGAAAGCCCCACAAAGCTGTTTATTTGCTAGCAAATAAATTAAATGTCAATTGAGGGAAGTAATCCAGAAGAGCAGATGGAAGCACTACACTGAGCCTGATTAATTACACCACAGTGACATGTTAGATTCTTTCTAGAAACATTTCTGGATGCGATGGACTAGCTTTGGCTAGCAGATCTATGCAAATTTTCTTGTGAAAATTTGTTGGGGTTGATTTGAGATTTGTCATCTGTGAGTAAAAAGGAAAGTGAAAAATAGAGAAAAATGAATGCAATATTTATCCAGCAGGCATGTGTGCATTTAAAGTGTCTAATGTCAGAAGATGTCATTAACCCACAGTTAATCTGTAGCTCCCTTCAGTATTGTAAAAAGAGTTTCAGCTCATTTATTAGCTCTGCGGCTACACTTTATTGCTTTGGTTCCCTCCTGCTGTTCTCAAAATGTTGTTACCGGTTTTAAAACCCAGTATGTTTATTATGTAAAACCCAATGTACATGCCACGCTCAGTGCCAAACTATGCACCAAATCAAGTGAAATCTTGAGACACACTGAGGTCATTTCATGTCAACTGACCAAATGCTCACAGCCTGACCAGCTCTGATTTCCAGGGTGATGACACACATCTTATTTTAGCTTTCTAATGTTATTAGTTTGCTCACAAAAATATTTCTGTAATGAAGTTAGGGGCATTTCTGAGCCATCTTTTCTGAGCAGCATGTTCTTCCACTGGGCTGTCCCACTGTAAAAAAAAAATAAAAAAATTCAAAGCCGATATGAGTATGAAGAATCCTGTGCTCAGGAGAAAGTAGAGTTAAGTGAAAAGAAGAGAGGTTTGACCATTCCTCTAACTTCATCACCAAAATATTTGTCCAAACAGGTAACAGCAGTAAGCTAAAATTTGGTAGTTTTCCTTGACAAGTGCATCATCACCTCGGAAAGTTTTTCAGGGAAGTGAGAGATGGTCAAGCTTTTTCTTAAATTTGGTCAGTTGACATGGAATGAGCCACTAGAGAATAACACTATTCTTCTCATGAGAGTTAGATAACATTTAGTGGTCAGAGATGTGCTAAATTAGAAGCTTGCTGCTCAGCTTTGCATTAACACTGGAAATGAGCAAGTCTGTATAAATACAATGTAACCAACACAGCATCACACGTTGGTCATTAACTGTTTTCAGCAGATGTCATCAGCAAATGCAGGATCTGAATGGGACACTCAGGCACACTATAAACTTCACTTTCATACCTCCCTGAAGCATACTCTGCATTATCTTGATGTTCGACTCTAATCTGTGAACTAAATGTGATAATGTTTTTAATTAG